TGTTAAGTCTTGTGTAGACTTTGTATAGAATCTGTCAAGTTATAGTCATCATACTATAGTTGAACAGCTTCTGTTATTGCTATGGTTAAAAGAAAAACTACAGATTAACAATATATATCAATATATAACCAATAATCGATATATATCATATAAAAAAATCGATTACAATCAATCTTACTGGTAGCAATCAATGCAAATCTTCAAAAAAATTTTTCTGATATCTAGAGCAATTTCTAATAGCAATAGAAAGAACCAAACTAGCTTACTTTAATTCAACCACAGTAGCAAAATACTTTGATACTGTTATAAAAAAGATAATAAAAATCATTATTGGTTATAGCAAATCAAGAGAAGGTATACTTGGTGAAGTAAAAAATTACTATACAGTAATTGAATATCAAGACTGTGATACACCCTACTATCATATGCTAATTTGGCTTCAGAAAGCCCTTAATCCTATTGAATTATGAAATCATCTTTGTAATGATGTGAATTTTAGAGACCAATTGATGAACTATGTAAATAAAATTGTCAAAGAAGATATCATATATCTTTTCTCTAATAGTAATTATTTAACTGATAAGATGTTATATGCCGAATATAATATTCCAAAAACAAGGCTGAAAAAAAGTCTACACCTATCATTTTTACCAATTCCAAATTTGCAATCTTCTAACTTTGATGAAGAACTTCGACTGGACATCCTTGCAATTGCTAAACGTATACTATTTCATAAATGCACTAAATCATGTAAAAAATATAATCATGATCGATTATCTAACTGTTGTTTTGATTTTCTATTTGATTAAGATAATCTTTGCCGCTCTTTGTAGATTTTGGTAATGGTGATTCTTTCAAATTACTATGATTATTAAAGAGCTTGATTATCTTATCACCAATTTTATTAGAAATATTTCCCTCTATAATCAATTCTATAAAATCATAATAAGCATTATTAGGCCACTTTGCCAGATTTTGCAGCTTATTTTTTCCCTCAATACTATCTAAGATATCATCAATAGTTGCTCCTTGGATATTTTCAAAGTCAGAGCTAATATTTTCAGTATTTAAATCTGATTCATTCAAACTATCTATAGAAACGTCAGCAACTTTTCTTGAAATTGGTTTGAAATTCTTTACAAATTATAATATGACTTACCATTTTGGATCAATTGCATTATATCTTCAATTATAGATGGTGAATCATAATCTTTTAAAGATTCTTCAACTGATATATCACTTAAAATTTTCTTCTTCAGAATATGTTTGCTCTTCAACTAACATATCACTAAAATTTTCTTCATTATGTGCCAGCTCTTTAACATCTTTCTGTAATTAAAAGAGATTTTTAATTTATTAAACATATAAGTTCTGCCAAGAAAAAACCTATTATCGAGCTTTTAAATATATTTTGCATAGAATACCATCACTTTAATTTATTAGTATATAATACAAAATATATTTAAAAGCCCACTAATAGGTTTTTCTCTAGTAGCCTTATATAATTATTTTATACTATTATATCACTTCATTAATATTTGACATATTAATTTCTGATAAAGATGATGACCTTGGTATTACAACAGGTATATTCTACAAAATTCTATTAGCTTCATAGATTTACTGATTTTTCAATATGTAATATTACAATTTTTCTTGCTATAATGAGAATTTGAATATTCACTGCAAAATTCTCACTTTGGATCATTTAAATAAAAAAATAGAATAACTAAAAATTTGGTTTAAGTCAAATAAGAAATAAAAATTTGTTTAAGTCATTCGATTTCAGAAATTCAAAATTATTGAACCCGAAGTCAAAAAAATATATAATAATGTATTTATGTTAATTTCAAAAAACATAATATATAATATACTCATTTATATAACTTTGTTAAAAGCAGCTATTTAAAGTTCTATTCAAGGCTTCTTTTGTTTTATCTACTTTCTAAAAATCTTATTTTGTAAATTTTAATATGAGAAGCAATAACAGAGACAAAATGCATAAAGACAAAGCTGGCTCGAATAAAGCAGATAGGGCAGAAGAATCAGCTTTGAGTTAAATAAAATCTTTTTTTGGGATGGTATTGCATTGCAGTAATAACAGTAATAACAATAAAAAAAATTTTTTTATTTGGTTTTTTTTTAAAAAAAAAATAAAAATTTCTTTTTAATTTATTTTTAGAATCAAACCAAAAGAGAGCTAATCTTGGCGATGTTAATTTAAACAAAATATCATCCATGGCCCAATCTAAGTTAGCAAAAGTTTTATCTGTAGTCCAAGGATCTAAATCGACCAAAGATAAAGACAAGTAATATTTATTTTTCTGTTGTTAGAAGTTTATTATTATTATTGGCTCTTTGTATTAATTATATCATAATATAGCAAATAGGCAGAAAGATATGTCCAGAGATCTTAGAAAGCTTGTCATATTTGACGAGCTTTCTAATAGTTTCTGAAATATAGCATATAAAAAAATCTCAAAAGAATTAATTCTAGAAACATTATACCCCACTACCAAGAAGTATAGATTAGCGTTAAAAAAATATTTAGATTACCATGCAAATCACTTTATTAAAATGATCAGAAAGAATGTATGGATTTCTTTATTTACTGAAAAGCTTTTACATGAAGTAAGAAATTTATCATTTTACTCACATTTGTCATAATACCTATGCTCAACTTATTTTTTTTACTTTATTTTTTTTATTTTATTTGCAATTTTATTTTTTTTGTTTATTTACTATTTACTTTTTTCTTTATTAATAACCTTTAGATAAAAAATAAATATCATGGAAAGTGAAATGAAATAGCTGTTATTATCTGAAATGCTACTTTTGCTAGTTTTACTAATGATCAACTAGAAAAAGTTAATAGTACTACATCTTCTTCAAAACTAGTTGAATGAAAAATTGCAAAAAAACTTGTGATGCCTACAATTCTCTTTTTGAGAATGATGAACTAATAACTTCTATTTGTCTATTAGCTTTTAGACAATTTCATGATAAAAGTTCTCCACCAATGCACTGTGCCTATACTATGGCAATTTGTGATATTTTGTTAAATTCCACTAGTTCCAGTATAAAATATACTGACAAGTCAGTCACTAGACAAGTTCAACTATTAATAGTTTAATTTCTATTTTTGTTAACAAAAAAACTTTATTTTTTCTTATATAGTACCATATAGCGCTGATTTGGTACCTCTGATATAATACATATGAAAAGTTTTTTTTTACATAGTGATAAGATATACCCCTGAAATTTTTTAATAGAGTACTTTTTACGAGTTCTGTGGTCAGCACTGTATGGTATTATTCAAATTTACAATATGTATTTATTATTTTTATCTGAACTTTAGAAGGCATATAAAACAAACTAATCTATCTCTCAAGAAAAACTTGCAGAGATTGCTCTAGAAGAAGAAAAAGAAGCTGCTACGGCAAAAAATAAAAAAAGAAACTTAAAAGCTGATGTCACTGATGAAGAAATTATCGAAGATGATGATGACTATAATAATTTTACAGAATTTGATTCAATTATTAGCAATAATCCATTACCAAAGGATTAATACGTACATAAAAGCATTAATTTCTATATATAGTGTTTTTAAAATATATTATATATTTTAGTTTATAAATCTTCAACAATTTTACCTACATAACCTGTGCTAACTTAGCTGTTATGTTTGCATATATAGTGATTTTAACATAGCAACAATTCAAGTTATGTGCCTAACAAATTACCTTTAAAAGATTTAAAGTTAGAATTCAACTCAAATTTTGTAAATACTAAACAATAAATTTGAACTCAAATATTTTTTAGAATTAGTATTGATTAGTACGTATATTCGATACTGTGTTTATTATTTAAAAATTGTTAATAATTACACTATCACGCTTAAAAGCAATTACCAAAAATTATATATATTTAGTGAAACAACTGGTTTATTTTTTTAGCAAATAATTATGCTTTATAATTCCAATACTGTATCGTGTATAAAATATATAAGCGTG